CTACGGTACTGAAACACTGGTGTTCGTCTGTCATACGACAGAGCGTTATTTTGTAATGTGCAATAATCAATCATTTTTGCATTTTGCTGGCCTTTCAATAATCTTTCACAAGTAACACCAGGGACGTATGATTCGGTTGAATGATCTGATGGAAGGATGTGCTCCCCTCCCCAATGCGTGGATGCCATCATCGGCAATCGCAGAAGCGGCCTGTCTACCTCTGTAGCTGGTGCATTCATGTAAGGTAGAACGCATGACTATAAACATTCACAATGGACGTCCATTGTCACCTTCCAGGTGCTGCATGAGGAGTAGGCCATGGACTCACTGGCAAGACAGGCTGTTCGAACAAACCCATTGTTTACGAACCAGCGCAATATCAACAACACCGGAGGTCACAATTCATTTTAGCGAAACTGTTCTCATGCTACAGTCTGCCGCGAATAGACACCAACGCAGATTCACATTTGCCCATCTGCTTTCAGAACGCTGCTCTTTATGACTGATACGCAGATCAAAGCAATTGACGAATTTATGGCTATGCTGTGGACTAAAGCGTTCTTTAAACTTGAGTCCAAGATGAATGACATTTCCGTTAGTGGTTTTTTAAAATGCAGGTTAGGGTAGTAGGTCGTTTCTCATGATTATCGCCTGAAATAACTCATCTTCATTTATTGACCTTATGACATAGCCCAAAAGTACTTTTCTCGATAAACCCGTACAATGCTTTGTCTGCCTGGTGTACATCGCCCACTTTCGAAGGCAGGAGCATCGGAAATAGCACTCCCTATTGAGAAGATAAAATCCATGAAAAACTTCACCCAACACTTCTTCAGGGTACATACACAAATGGCCCAGAAGAGTCTTCCTGCTGTCGTATTTTACTCGTAAGCAGGTTTGCTTTGTTAGCGTCATAAATCGTCACCGACCTCTGTAGGGCAGTTTCAACTTCGGTACAGTTTCTCTAGGATAACAAATTAGGAAAAAGAGATCCATATCTCTTTCATAATGATTGCCATCGCGAACGCTGGCTGCTGCTCATCTGTTCAATCTTCGCTTTACTCCTATTCTGCCATTGCATATTTCTCTTATTTACATTTCGTTTTTAATTATCGTTAATATGTGAGTCGCTCAAGTAATATTTTCGCCATCGGCTTTGTTTTTCTTCTGAAGACAATGTTATTTTTAAGTCATGACTGATGGATTGCAAAATTTGTTGATACATGACATGGACTCGGAAATGTGAAACGGCGATGGCACAATTTTACATTATTGTCAATTCATTGTATGAGTAATAATACTCACATGATCAGAACGGATTCGTTGGTTTGAGGTTTCGGTCATTCTGGTGTGCGAAGCATGTTTCAAGTGCGTTTTCACTTTTATTCCTCAGGCATTCAACCTGGTCTGTTTGCAGCTTCTCCTGCCAGCTTAGACCTGACCAAGGAGCTACTCGCGATCAACATCAATTCATTCTAACGGTGGTACTATTTCCGTCGTTTGAGGCCGGTGTTTTTTTAGCCAGCGTTCAGGAGTTCTACGAGCCGTCGAGGGACGGCCTTCACTCCCGTTCGAATGATCGCAACGGTGATGACTTATTAACACCAATGAATAATACACTAGGCTTCGGAGCGGTTGCTACGAGGACGGAACGCGATTATGGTGGCGGCTGGAAACGCGCCTGTGCCACTGTTGAGTGTGCTTTTGTCACATCAGTCCAATCATATCGTTCGCCTCGAAACTTACGTCAACGACGCGATAATTACGGGACGCGGCGAAACTAAAGTGCAGTTTTGTAGTTTAGTCGTCGGCGAAGATTGGCGGCGGCGGTGGCGGCGACGGAGACGGTAACGGTAACGGTAACGGTGACGGATCTCGATGGACGCGGACAACCGGGTGATCCTGAACGTCGGCGGAGTCCGGCACGAAACCCATAAACACGTGCTGAAGAAAATACCGGCCACCCGACTGTCGAAACTCACAGAGAACCTGGCCAACTATGACCCGGTGCTGAAGGAGTACTTCTTCGACCGGCATCCGGAAGTTTTCTCACAGGTGCTCAACTACTACCGTACAGGCAAGCATTGTTCACATCTTACGCCTTACGTTACCTGTAATGACTCTTACCGTACTGTTTAACGTTTCGTGCCACCAGAAACACCGTCTCGGAGTCAGAGCCCAGGTGTTGTTTACGAGGTTTCGTTTCCACTGCCTTTGGGCGCTGTTGAACACAGGTGCTGCTGCGAGGGTATACCCTCCAAACGACCCATATTTATTTTAATCCTCA